AAAGACGGTTGAGTCGTGGCCAAAACGCAGAGTAACAGTTTTCTGGCAAGCCTTCCAAGCTGTGGCAGCAATCCCCTCGTGAAGCGTGACAGTCCTTCCAAATCAGTATGCTTCCACCTCCTACCAAAACAACCGCTATGTAACTTAGGAAGGTTGCTTTCGATGAAAGCTCACCCTGCCTGTGCTTTATTCGATCGTGAGCAGAAACGCAGCAATACACGATAGTAGCATGCCTTAGTGGTCTATTTGGGAACGACCGCAGTAGCCGCCAACAGCAACAAGCTCCCATGAACTCGAGATCAGCAGCAGTATCCTATGAAGTTTTCGTCAGCCACCTGAATGTGTCGCCGAAGCAGCTTTCCGGTACACTGTAGCAATCATCTTAGCGGCTCAGCAACACAGTTTATGGTGCAGCAGCCATAATAGCTAAAACGCAGTGGTCGCATCCGACACACAGCAAGGCAGCGTACATGACAACGAGGAAAACAGGCGAAGCTATATAATACATCAATGCTGCAAAAAGCACAGCAATGCTGTACATTGGTAGTTTCGACTTTCAGCAACAGCACTGGTTCCTTCAATTCTGAGTTGTCATACTTAACCGGCTACCGTGGCGCAGTTTGGTACCATAGCTTGGCTTTTCGGTTCATCCCGCATCGTCGGTTCATCAAGGTGAGTACTCAACCCCTCCTCCAGGCTGCAATATCTGATGCAACTCGTAGTCAAACCCCCAACACTTTTGTCTTCTGCCGGTACATATAGTCACAGCACAGGTTTTCCAGTCCAACAATACTAGTTGCCAACTTGTTGTGATTCAATAGAAGGTGGCAACAACAATCTCTTCAGAAGTAAAATCAAACCCGCCACCCCACCGTACTTGGCAGTTTAAGGCAATAGCTGCTTAGTAGTAACTCGAAACTTCAATCCTGCCTCATCCCTGAGTCAACTGCGGCATAGCCCAACTCTTTCCTCATTAGCATCCATCTGTTGAGAAGACCATTAGTATCGTCGAATGCACTGTTGTAGCAGACTGCGTTCCTTTTGTTAGCAACAACATCTTGCAGCTTAGCAGTAGGGAGGACACAGTAGGTATAATAGTAAGTGCGCAGTGGTGTCCCTCAATGACACTTGGGTTCACAGTAATACGTCTGGCTTCGGTGGCAGCTGCCCTAGGATCACACTAACCTGAACTATCTTGTAGCCATAGTAGTAGCAGCCTGCTTTCCACAATCAGCATTACCGATAGGCAAAAGGCCACCGCTGGTCTCCCGAGTGAATGGAATCCCCCTGTTGCAAAAACCTGTCGCGCTGCTGCCTAGAAGCACCAACTTAGACCAGCCTAGCAGGTTGTCAACTGTGTCTTCACGTCAGTAATGGTAACTTCACACATTAAAACCCATTCGTTGTACCAGCTATAACAGTAGTTCTCATGGTCAACAGATAGTAGGATCCCGTGAAGAGCAAGGGCAAGAATGGATGAAACTAAGAGTGAGTCTTTCTGCGTAACCAGCGGAAAATACACTTTTCTCGCTGAACGCACCTAACTGTAATCACAGACGGATCTGGGTCTGATTAAGCAAAAGTAAAAACATGATCTTGATTCTCAGCCTCCCTAGTCATGTGCCTCTTCTCTCACTCTTTAACTTTCCCTAATCGACCTGCTCCTGGCCCGTTTCACGTAATTCCACAGGCACAATGTAAGGAGGTCAGCCGAGGTGGATCTGCAATTCCAGGCGGCCATACTCATGAGGCAGCGTGGCTGTAGCATAGGCTTCGCAATCGTGGCTGCTATACAAAGGCATATCTGATGTCGACAATGAGGGGCACACGCGAATCATAAGAGGAAGAAATGACTAACGGGATGAATGGCTATGGCGCCGAGAGAGGCAAACGTGACTCTTGGGTGCAAGGGTGGCTAGCATGAGGCAATTAAGACCCCCGCTGGCGAAAGCAGCACCCCTGCTGATGAAGGTAGCCGCGAGCCTGCTAATGATGTCACGATTGATATAGATGCCCTTGATCCAGCTGACGAGGGACACTGATTTGATCGAAGAGGATGGCTTCTCTCTCTCTCTCTCTCTCTCTCTCCTTTTTTTTTTTTTTTTTTTTTTTTTTTACCACTTGTTTGAATTTGGTCGTGCTAGCGGCCAAATTCAGTCAGTTAAAAAAAGAAAAACAAGGGAGCGGATATGGAGGGACTGTACCTCGGTCGAGAGGAACGACGTACTGCACCGACTGCGTGATCACAATCATTGCCCTTGAAGCCAATCAGTATGCACACGAGCTCTCATGACGGCGAAGTGGAAGCAAACTTCAAAGACAGCAAAATTCGGCTTCGACGATGGCTTCGACGAGATGGGATGTTGCATACTTTAACATGCAGACCAGAACAAGAACCGACCTTTCACTACAAAGTATAAGATAGCACAACGGAACACTTAGATGCCAGTGATCCGAACAATCAATGTTGCAATGCAGCCCTGAACATACATCATCATCATCGTTACATGGTGTGAATGGGGCCAAGCGCTGCACACAGGAAGACTGCGCCAGCCCATACCATACACAGACGAAGAGGAAGGGGATAGACGAAGAGGAGGGGGAAGATGGGAATGTCGTCAACACCAAGTCTTCGGCACAAGCCCAAATAGTCCCTCATCGAAATGTCTGAATCCCAAATGTCAAGTCTGGATCCAATGTCGTCAAGTCTCAAGTCACAACTCTGTCTCTCTCTGTCGTAGTCTGAGAAGTCAGGTGGCGAGAGGGTGAGAAGAGAAGGAGGACTTAGAAGAGGAAGAAGAAGAACTCTCTCTCTCTCTGTGTGTCCAGTACTAACCTGTGAAGTTGGCGCCTTGATGCAGGTACCACGAAGATGGAGCTGGAGCGATGGCGCCACAGGTAASTATCACTGGCCTCCGCCAGTATCTCTCCCACTCTACSRTCTACCACCTACCAGCGCCCAGCGCTGAAGACTACAACTACAGCTATGGCGCCCAGCGCCGAAGACTACAGCTAGCGCTAATACTACCAAACGCTGAAGACTACTGCAGCGCTCCCCCTGAGTGCTGCGGCCGAATCCTGAAGACTACCTCTGACTACTGGAACTACCTACCCGTGAAGTGACTAGGACAGTCCTATGTACTACYGGGGTGCCTCCTGACTRMTGGCGAGCAGTCCAGGAGRCTGCTCTTGCCAATGCCGATCGGAGGCAGGGGCTGCCGCTGCAGCTCCTGCTCAAACTMGAGGAACAGGCTATTCTTGGCCTGTTCCGCATCCCTGTTTGCGTGCCTGAGTCTTAGGGGCAGGTCGAAACAATGAGGGCCTGAAAATGGCCCTCCGTTTCAGGCTGAAAACTCTGGGTCTGAAAAGACCCAGAAATAGGCTGAAACGGGGTAGGGCCTGCAGGCCCTCGTTTTTCAGCTTTCAGGCTGAAACGGGGTAGGGCCTGCAGGCCCTCGTTTTTCAGCTTTCAGGCTGAAACGACCGGGGCCTGTAAGCCCTAAGTTTTAGGCTTTTAGGCTGAATGTCTGGGACGGGCCCTGCAGGGCCCATGTGGCTACGCAGTATGCCACATGGGATGTTCTTGACCACTTATGAAGAACCAGCCCGAGCACAGGAAGAACAGCCAATGAACAACACCAGGATCCTGACAGAATGACTTGGCTCCTTTCCTATCACTTAATAAGCATACATAGTGAGAATGAATCTCCCACTAGAATGTGGGCAGGTGCATCATCATTACTCCCCGCGCAGCCTTGTCAGCTTATACCGGCGAAACCGTCGTTTGTACTGAAAATCCGTCGCTGCCACTTGACTCAGAACGTCTGAGAACCCCTATTTTGGTTCCTTGCTGGCTTGATTTCATTGAGAAATGAACGAGCTACTCTAACTACTCTAACAATCCGTCGCTGCCGACGCCGTCTTGGTCTTGCCAGTCGAACACAGGCTTGGGCCCGTTCGGAAAAAAACAAGGGGATAGTCCTTTAAGACCCTTGACCCCTCAGTCTCCGTCTGTCGTGCTTCTTTGCTCCATCACCGCTTGCTGACCTTGAACCCCAAACCTGTCGCTTGAGAGTCCAGTACCGTAACCATTAGAACTAGGCCGAAGGCTGAGCTAGGTAGGCATGAACCTGCGTATGAATAATCGCAGGACCGTGATTGGTCCTACTTGCACAAACCAGGCCTCCACCTTGGTCTACCGGCCAACCTTCTGGCCGTCCGAAGACGTCGAGATGCCGCCCGCACCTAGGATCGTAGCTATCTGGTATCCTGGTCGTCGGGCGCTCAACATATTTTGTCAAACTTCCAACCTTTCCTTCATACTAGGTCTGCCAACGCCACGCCTTTCGACGCGTCGTCCCACATAAACTTCTTGCGTGTGCGAAAGGTAAAGTTCTTATTCCTCTTCGCGTCATGTCCCACAAGAGGCCGAACTAGGTGCGGAGTAAAGCTGGTCTTTATAAAATAAAGGAAAAATATAATCAATAATAAAACTACAGAAGGGAGAGTAACTGGGTTCTACGACTTTGGCGTCATTTAGCCAGCCTAGTATTGCCGATGACTAAAGACTATCTCACCGTGCAACGTGGTAATGCATGCCCCACACATTTTCTAATCTGGCCATATTCGACTTGGAGTCTCGCCAAAAGCGAGGTTGCCGAGGTGAGCGCCCTGAGGGGTTTTACCCCATTAGCGCGTTTCGTTGATCAAGGACGCACCCAGTGCAACCTTTGAAAAGGACGGCAAACACCCTCGTAAGGGTGTTTGCCACGACACCGGTGAGGGCCTGTCTATGGACTTCATGGACACGCTGGTCACCAGCAAGAGCGGAATGAGACACATTTTTGTTTTCGTGGATAGGTTTAGTAAGTACGCTAGGTTAGTTGCAATGCCGGAGACAGCGAAGACTGAGCATGTGATTAAGCTGTTCAAAGAGAATTGCGTCAGAGATTTTGGATTGCCAAAGTCTATAGTCAGTGACCGTGATGTGCGATTCACACGTGAACTGTGGAAAGCCGCAGCTGCAGAACAGGGAACACAGCTGCAGATGACATCAGGAAACCATCCCGAGGCGAATGGACAAGCAGAACAGTTGAACCGCGCTGTACAACACCTGCTAAGGCATTCCATCAAGCCCAATCAGGTAGACTGGGATGAGAAACTTGCTCTTATTGCTAGTCTGTACAACAACGCGGTCCACAGCGCAACAGGCGTGAGCCCAAATAGTCTGCTATTAACCTTTAAGCCTAGACTGCCCTTGGATTTCTTACTACATGAGAACCAGCCCTCTGCTGCACCACGGACTTTAGAGTTTGCTTATCGATATGAGCAGTTGATGCAGCAGGCTGTTGAACAGATGCACAAGACACAGGCGGCGATGATAGAGTCTAAGAACAAACACCGCCGCCCATCCATGTTCCAGGTAGGAGAGAGAGTCTGGGTCAAGTCCTCAGAACTGGGACAGGAGCACGGGATCTCCCGCAAGCTCATGCCACAGTACTTTGGACCATGGGAGATTTTGGATGTTGTTGGGAATGAACCGGATGGCCATCTTATGTTATTCGCATCCATGGTCACGCACGCACGTACCCTGTTTTTCACGCTTCTAAGCTTGCACCATTCAAAGAAACTGACCAGTTTCCCTCTCGTCGCTCAATGTTGCCCCCAACCATGGATGGAGAGGTCGACATCGACGACATCGTTGACCACAAGGAGATGCCAGTTCCAAGACCAAGAGGCAGAGGACGTCCTCCAAAACCGAAGCTGCAGTATCGAGTTCGATTCAGACATCACACTGATCCAAAGGAGGGCAGATGGTTCACAAGGGAGGAACTGACGCAGACCGCTCCACAGGTAGTCGCTCACTATGAGAAGTCTCTACGGAAAGGAAAGCGCCAGATTATCGAAGACTGAACTTCTCAGAGGATTAGCGAAGTATGGGGGAGGGAATGCGAGGCACAAGGCCTCGATAAGCCCTATTGGGCCCTTATTTGCAACAGCGTCACCCCCCCTAAGTGAAGGCAGGCCCGATGGACCTTAAAGAGGCCTATTTTGGACTACTTCGCAATTGGGGAAAATTCAGGCCGTTGCGTAGCGCCAGTTGGTTGGAAGCGCCCAGGCCCTGGTTCCTTTTATCAAATGCATCTGAGTCAGGCCCTGGGCGAGATTCGCAGCATAGGCCCAACTGAGGCTGTGAGCAGCTGGGCACAGGTAACTGTCGCTGGCCCTGGGGCCAATTCGTTTGGTCTGAGGCTCAGCCTCCTTGGGCCTACCGGAAGCTCCTGGGCAGAGGCCCAGCACAGCCAGGCTGCACGCACGCAGGCTGGCCATTTTCCATATAGGAAAGGGCCAGCCCACGCTGGGGGCATTGGGGTGCTGGCTGCATGCTGCGCTGAAGCTGGCCAGCGCTCACGCGCTCACGGGCGAGCTGGAAGGAGCAGGCAACCATAGCCAAGCTGCGCTGCTGTAGGCTGGGTGTGGCGCAGGGTGGTCCTTGGGTGCAAGTGGCATCTGTGAGTTGGGGAACGAGGTTGTGAGTGATACGAGAGACATACCTGGTGCTAGAAGTGACGGCATTGTCCGAGATCTGCTCGTACTTCGGTGAAACTGCTGACGTCATCCGGCGGCATTGTAGAATAGGCTAGATAGGATCTGCCATCTGTAGTCTGAGTGTCGACCGCCAGATAGGATATCAACATTGGTTCTTCGTTGATGATGATGATGAGACTTTTCCAACATCGTCAATTATGAGCTCTTGGTGTGTTCTTATTTGGTGAAACTTGTGATGCAATTCTGCTGTTGGTTTGAGGTCACGGCTGTCTGGTCTTATGTGTATGATGCTGTTTGATTTCTGAAGTTCGCTATCGCTCACCTTCCTTGCATGAGCAAAATGACGTCAAAATTTAATGGCATCTACCTCACATCATAGAGAACTCACAAAAACAAATTCAGAAAAAAAACATTATTTTTAGGCTCCGAAATAATTTTTGGCGGGGGCCGAATGCCGTCGGGTTCGGACCCCATACGGGACCCCGAACGCCCGTATGTACGGAGGTCGGCCCGGGGACCTCCATACGTACGGGCTGGTGACCGTGTATATATATATATATATATATATCGTATATATATATATATATATACGACATATATATCGTCATCGTATATATATATTGTCATAGAACTATTGACTAAGAGCATGAGCATGTGAAGTAGAAGAAGAAATAAGATGAGCAAAGAAAACAAAAATGAAAGGACAGACAGGCAAAGAGACAGACAAACCAGAATGACACTTTGTTTCACAGTATTATTATTTCTTTCAGTCTTTTACAAAAATTATTTACAATGAATCTTTATTTACACTGAATCAAAGGATAAAAATAAAAAACAAAGACACATTGAAATCATTCAGTTTCTCAGTCTTCTTAACGCCTCCTCCACTGTGCCTCT